GAAAGCGATGCCCTCATCAACAAATCTGACGCTGCCTTAAAACGAAGCCGTGGACTGTAGCACGCGCGCACCGGAGGGGTGGGGGGATGAGGGCTACTGTAGGGAAACACCCACCCTGAGATGCCTCAAGTTCACTCACCGTCACTCTTAATCTACCAAGACGCTCAACAAGTGACACACAAAATGTCAGGTCACACACGTACGCATAGCATAGTGTCTGATTGGGCCCCTTGAGTGAAAATAACACACATGCAGAGTCCTGATAGCTGCGGCTCGCTTGGAGGCTTTTAGCATGTCATAACCTGCCACTGCGTACCTGAAGAGGGGATGAGAGTGTTCGAGAGATTTACATTAATATACACTTCTGTAATGACTTAATACAGATTATTCCATTTTTACTTGTTGGGGACAGCTATTTCTATGATTTGATTTCTATGAAAACCTAAAAACAGATGACTGCGTACTGCTTTTCAAACCTTTCGTATGCAGGTGAAAGTGAGCTCCTGTGTTGATACCAGAGCTGGGAGTCACTTTGTCATGTCTAATTGATGTCCTGAAAGCTAAGCTGATGCAGCAGGTGACAGAAAAGCCTGCAGGCACGCACTGATTAAGGCAAACGCTGCACCCAGAAACCAACATCAAATTTGTTCATTGCACGTATCCCGACATACTCTTGCGCACAGTGGCTGACACCTGGATGGATTTATTTCAGGTCCACTGAATTCAAAAGCTTTGGTCATGTGAAAAACCCCCAAAAAAAACCAAACCCAAAAACTTCTGGCTGCTGCTGTAGGAGTGACCGGCTCTCTGACAGTGTTTGTTGTTTGTTTGAGGAGGAGCTGGCTTTGAAAAGGAAAACAGAGGTGCAGCTGCTGCGAAAGGGCTCTTTAAAAGTCGGTGAAGTACCGCCGTGAAAACGAATAACGCTTTTCATCTCGCCTCCTTTTCTCATTTGGCACACATTTTGTCACTCCTTTCTTTCTCTCCATCTGTCCTCTTCCTCCCTCTTTTCACTTATTTTCACTCACTCACACTCTTTCTCGTTCTCTGTGGAAAATTTAATGGCTTCCTGGGCTCAGAGCGAGACATTCTTTCACTGTGAACAATAATAACAAGAATAAGAGGCACTTCATACAACTCTCTCGTTCCCTCGCCAAGCGGGTATAACTGGGTGTGTATTCTGTAAGGCTGAGTGTGTGTCTGTATATAAGCATGTACACCACACTTGAAAAGCATTTGAAATGTTAAGACCAGGTACTAGATTGGTTAAGCCAAGAGGGTGAGCGCTTCATTTGTTATCATCAAAGTCTGCTTATTCAGTACTCAAAAGTAACTTGCACAGACAAGTGCTCGGGCATATACGCACTTCTGGAAAAGAAAAATGGAAAAAAAACACTACAGTGCAGAATGGATCGACTCTTTGTTCAGTTGAAGCTCGAAAATAAAAAGTGAAAAGATATCAAATGAAAGTTAATGAAATCTTGCGAGCAGCTGAAGCTGGATTGAAGAGAAAGGAATAAAATGCTGCAAGAAGAACCTGAGCTGGTTTGCACATTAAGGATTTTATTTATGGTTTTAGCAGGTAATTGGACGGTCACAGTCAAACTCAAGTGCTTAGGAAAAGCTGTATATTGTCTGTGAGAATCTGCAAAATGCATGCATCCAGTGACAAGTTTGTCTTTTGTTTCTTTTTGTTAGCAAATGTGACTTTGCTCTCCTGTCATCAGACACACTGACAACACTGGATGGAATCCGTGAAAGCAAGATAACTCAAATGAATGTTAGCATTAACACACGAGAAGCATTGTGAAAGAAGAACAGTGGCAGAAGGGCCAAGACCTTTGGTCTCATTTAGCCTCCAACAGCTTCACCTTCTGCTCTCTACAGCTTGACATCACAGGGCCATGCAGGGCCAAAGAACCAGGGACAGGAGCCAGGGGCAGGATGTCACGTCAAACCCTGAACCCACCAGCCAAACCAGCAAGACTCTGTGGGACACTCAGTCCCAGCTTTGAGAACAAAGGAGAGGGTCTGACACTGGCCAGGCAACCCTCTGTTCCTGGCTGGACTCCAAGTCTTCAAGGACCCTTTAAGGCTACTCTGCAGGACCATGCCCAGTCTCTGGCACTGTTAAGAGTTTTCAAACCATTTCGCATGTAGCGTTTCCTTTGCAGAGATGTGACCTGGTTAAAAAACTCTCCTGCAAAATTGAAACCTGCAGAACAGTAAAGTTTGTAGCCTGACAGCCAAGTCCATTAGAGTGATGAAGAATGAGGGTAAAAGACAGGTATCGCTAACAGATCACAAAAAAGAGCCACATGGGGCTCTTCTGCCCGCCTTCAGTGGCTCCCTGTGGCTTAAAAACACCCTTGATGACTGAGTTACTGTTACTAAATCTTTGCCTTAACTATATGTGGCCCACTCGTGCTTAGGTGGGTAATCACCCTCCAAAGACCCATTCTGAAGCAGGAAAAATGGAACTTTTCCAGCTTTTTGGTAAAAATAACATTTTTAAACTAATTTTAGTCCAATACTTTCATAGCAATACCAAAGAATCAATTAAATAAATTGCTTCCTGCAAAATAGTCACATGTGTTAAAAGATTTAAACTTCTTACAACTATTAATAATGTCAATGGGCTAATATGAGCCTCAAATATGTTTTGAGTATCCATACAGATGTTTTTGCTTAAAAAAAAATGTCTCTTTTGATATTCGAGGTTTCCAGCCCCTTGTGTAAAAGTATACAGCAAAAAAAAAAAAAAAAATTCTCATAGTGCAATATAAACAATACTACTCCTACTCCTCAGGAAAATGGGAGTATGGCGTCAACAAGTGTGAAATTTAATACAGAAGAAACTGGTTTTACAATATTTTAACACTCGTCTCAGTGACCTGCCTTAGTAGAGCCTTTTATGCTTGCACTAACACTCTGATTATGTCATCATTACCACATGCAGACAGTACTCAAGGTGGGAATGGGAAATGCTTAGATCTCTTAGATTATTCAGTACATAGTAAAAAAACAAAACAAACATTAAGATCATGAATCATATATCACCTCAAAAAGCTCAGATTCTGGGTGTGAAAAACAACAACTCAGCATAAAACATGACAAAGGCCCATATGGAGGGGCAGAAAAACTAAAGGAAAAGTCACAGTAAGTAATGGGAACAGAGGCTTTCTAGAAAAAGTGGCAAGGATGAAAAGAAGGGAGGGAAAGGTGTGCAAAATAGAGAGAGGAAGTTGTGTTCATGGGGCGTGAGTGGTGTCCAGCACAGTTCAGGAGCTGGTGTGTTTTTCTTTAAAGCAGCCGAGAGGCAGCGCTGAGATCCAGAAACCAGTAAACCTTCAACACAAAAACAGCGTAGACACTGCCCCATCTAAGTGACAATTCCACAGCATCTCTGTGCATTATTGAATTACTGAGGCTCATATGCAAATCAGACAACACAAGACAGCGTGCATGTGCTCAGAGTACATTTGAATGTGTCTGTGTTCCTGTGGGATCGGGAAAGCCCAAAGGTGGGAACCGGGCAACCTTCTCACCCTCGTTCTGTGTTCCTCCCCAAGGGTAAAATAGGGCCGAGTGGGGAGTTTGTGAACAACACGCTGCAGAGGCAAACACACAAGAGCAGATATGGGGGGCTGGGGGTAGTAAATACCAGAGCCAGGAGGAGTTAGGTGCTGTGGTAACAGAGTTCACAGACAAACACTGTGATCAAGATTCAACACACAGACACACACACACACACACACACACAAATAGAGCAAACACACTCATGTGTTCCATATACAGAGTCCCAAACTGAGAATTTGGACAAAGCACTATCCAAAGCAAGATGTAAATGGATAAAAAGATGTGGCACGTTGCCATAATCCCCAACAAGACATCAGTCTCCCATGGGCAAGAACAAGCTCTGGGAACATCTGAATGAAATGACAGTGAAATAGAGGAATTAGCAGATGAATGAGTAAAAGAGAGAAAGAATGGGAAAAACTTAGCTAAACTAAAGCACTTGGAAAGACTCCTTTCTTTCATCATCCTCCTAAGCTATAGATATTTCAGCGGTTTCTGGTGTGAACCGAGGTTATGTTTGAGAGTCCTGGCTCCTCTGTGTATCCACATTTATTATTTGTGTCAGTTTCTACAGCAGGTAAACTGCAGTGTACATGCAGATTTCTGTGGAAGCGTCCTGAACTCTTCTCACTGCTGAGTTATGGCTGCTGTCACCAGTGTAACCTCTCGCTAAACCTTTAATGTCTTCAGCAGCCTCATCCTCTCTTACTTCCCTGGATGTCCTCACTATCACTTTGTTTCCCTCACATGCTCTATTCACTCCATCAAATATACTGACTGTGTATGAATACATTTTAACAGGAGCATTTGAGTATATACTCATGCTTGTGTTATACTCAAACCATCACTGATAAATGTTGCTAATCCAGATAAACTTATGGTGAATGAATTCCAAATTGTAATTTAGACTGTAATGTTAATTAAGGCAGGTGCTGGGATTTTATATAAAGAGATCTACAGGGCCCTTTGTGATTATATTATAAAGCTATAAATATTATGCAGCAAAAGAAAAACTATATTAGTACTTAATATTGGTATTTTACAAACAAAAGACATTACAGCATGTTGGTCACTGGCCTGAGACATGATGGGCAAGAGAGACAAAACTGAAAGAGTATAGAACAGAGATCTGATCTGAGATCTAAAAGGCCCAAGAAAGGAGAGCAAAGAGGTACATTTGAATTACAAGATGGCAAATCTCCAGCATACCAGTGTCGTAACAGGCCTCTTACTGTTGTACCAAAATGTTAAAATATAAAAGCATTTATATCAGAGTATAAAACACTTAAACTCATTGATATGTGAATTCCAGTTTACAAAACCTCAACAACGTAGGACCCCAGTGCTGAAATTCAAATATATAGTCAATATAAAGTGTGATAACCATGATAAATGTGCTGTACGTGTGAGATAATGCGTACCTTATACCGCATCTTGGGGCAGGAGTGAATGTAAAAGCCCAGGTAGTAGTAGGACAGCTTGGGAGACTGTTTCTGCAGCTGCTTGGTAAAAGCGATCTCCCTGTGGCAGGAAACACACAAATGCACCTTGTCAGAGAGCTAAGTGTAAGGAAAAGGCTTCATGCTTGAAACACCACATACTGTATTCAAGCAGCATGCAGTGTCACTGCGTCTTAAACGGATGGCTCGATCCGACATCACTTTCCTCATAGCTGGAGTTTGTGCACCACAGGGCACCGATTTCAATTTCCCATGTAGAAAAATCATGGTTGCAATTTACACAGTTATTTTATTGTCAGGTTAATTCGATTATTTACTGCAGTGTTTACTCTTCTGAAAAATATGAACCCTGATGAGCTGATTCGGAGTTTCGCACAGTTTTAACTGCATATGCAGGGATGCTGCATCAGAAAAGTACCAATTTTTAATAACAAAGCAACAATAAAGGAATTAATAAAACATTCAAATTGATACATTAAAAAATACACCAACTAACTTAAAATGTGTTTTCACTTACAAGTTAGTCCATCAGCAGCATATAAATGGCACTTGCTGCTATGTCTAGAGCAGTGCCTAAGCTGAGGAAGTAAACACCCACACTCAAAAAGGCAGGTTGTTTTTTTTTTCACCTTCTTTTTGGTTTCATGTCATTACACAAAAACAATTGCCTTCTCTCTATCAGCCCTGAGCCCTGAAGCAGAGAAGAAGGTGCTGAAAAAGGAGGAAGAGAGTGTGTAAAATAAAGATTTAGAACTTGGAGGATTTATACACCTTCTCCAAATACAGTAAATGTCTCGCCTGCTTTATTTTTCCCCAATAGCTTCTTCCTTAATTGCATCCTTTTACTGAAAGCCTATTTTCTCCTTTCTCTCGGCCGTTTCCTTCGCTATTCCATAACTAAATTCCAGCTCCTCTTTTTTCCCCCCCCCTATCCTTTTTGTTTCACTCTTCCTTCCACTTCTGTGTTTCACCCGCTTAAATGAAGTGGGAGAATTCCCATTCTTACAAGACTTAACAGACAGAGAAAGAGGCCTTAAAATAAAATAGATGCACTGAAAAATAAGACATGGGACAAAGCAAGCCAAGCAAGGGAGGTGGGGGGGAGACAGGGGGAGAGAGAGGGAACAGGAGGAGAATATAAAAGAGGAGGGTCAAGAAAGAGAAAGGGACGGAGAAGAGAGGCAGCAAGAGAGAGGTGCTAGAAGGTCACCCGCTTGCTGCCAGGTTCCTGGGTTCCCATCCCCTCACTACAAAAGGGCCCGGCAGGCCTGAATCAGGGAAGAAGGGGGGGTCAAGAGAGGCGAGGGGCCCATTCACAAAAAGCCATAGGCCCCCTTCACTTGAGGCCTTCACACCCCCCACCTCCACCCCCATGGCAGCAGCTTGAGTCCGCCATTATCCCCTCTTCAGCCATCTGACACTCCAGCACAAGCCAATTATCAAGCCCTCTGCTCCTGCACAGCTTCCCTCATACTGATGTGCATACGCAAGCACACGGTTCATAATAATGCATGCTATGAGATGCTTTTTGCAGCTTTGCATGCACGTGGAAACATTTCGTTACCTAATCTTACAAGAACTGTGTTGAGCTTCTAGTGATGGGAAGCACACAGATACTTATTTTATTGTGTCAGCATTTATGAGTAATCTATATAATATATATATGTGGTTAAAACTGGGGCCACTGCAGGAATTTTTGCCATTCGAGTCCATGTTGATTGGACTCAAATGGCAATTTTTGCAATTTTGTTGCAAAATACTGTTTAAGTATTTTAAAAGTGGACATTTTAGTTATCTAGAATTATTTTTTTTAATTTTTACTTTTCATAGGCTATGTGCGCATTCAACTACAAGACTGTTTACAGAAAAATATAAACACTGAATCAGATTAAGCCTGATTAAGAAATACAGTATATTTTGGTTTGAGATCATTGACGACAACATAATCAGGACATCCTCGTAAGAAAGATCCAGGTTTAACACCAGCTGTGTTCCCTGTACACAGTGCTTCAGGCACCTCGTTATGCGCCTCTTTTCTTCCCCTCTTCCTTCTGTCCTCGGGGGCCTGTGGCAGAAGGAGCAGCACTCTTATGAGAAATTTCTCAACATCTCCCTCTCCTGTTTCTCCTGCTGAATCGCGCATACAAGCATACTGACGCAGCTAAATAGCGCGCACAGTGCTGTACTTGTTTTAGTATTGTTGTAATGCCTGACGTCCAGGCGTATCTTATTTCAGCTCTGACATTATCTAAACGCTACACGTGATTTGTAAAATGATAAGTGAGTAAATACACAAATCAGGACTCCCAAAGAGGTAATGGTGTAAAATTCCAGAACTTTCCATGAACTCTTGTTACTAAAAAATAGAAAAAGGAAAATTACCAACATTTTTTATTATTTTTTTTAAACACTAGAATGAACTTGATTGCGGCTGAAAAGTTACGTTTCCAATCCAACTGGGCCTGCTGTAGGAACGCCATCTAATGTAATGAATATATGCATCGCAAGACCAGAGAGGGGGTGAGAGGGCCACATGCATTCTGTACAGCAAGTTTTGAACAGAGTCAGCCAGTCCAAGCAGACTAGGGAGTGTCCAAGACCAAAGACCGTTCTCTGGTGTCTGTAAACACGTGGGAGGATTTCAGTCCCGCTGGCTTCCTTCTCCAAGGCCTCCTCCACACGTCGAGCACTCTGTGTTACTCTTTGAGTCAGACTCTTACAATAATAAGTGATGGAGGGGTGGGCTGTGTGCTTAGGATGACCGAGGTGTTCCCTCTATATGAGAAAAGCCTGATCCTGCGCGACTGCACATAAACGCTCACAACTCCCATTTTAACACCTGTGCACACCAACTTTAAAGCGAAGATCACCCGGTCCCTCGCATATGTGCAGAGAAATTTTTAAAAGCCTTTCTCGCATTACTGGGTTACATTTTAACAGGAAACGCCAGATATGTGCACCTATAGAGTATGCGTGAGTTCTCTTATTTCAACCTGGGAGAGAGAACTGTCATCAGCTGAACCGCAAAACAGAGCACTGCCTCAACCAATCAAGTGGGAAGAAAGAGGTATTTTTGCCTGACCTAGAGTACTGTGGCACTTATAGTATACAGTTCTAAAGATAAAATGTGGGAGGAGCCAAATAGACCAAGAGTCAGGGGGAGAGAGAGAGAGGTTAAGAGGAGGGCAAACATGAGAGGCAGGAAAGTGAGAAAGCATCAAAGACAGAACAAAGACATTAGGGAAGAAAGAATGAAAGGAATAAGAGACAAAGCAACTTCTTTCTTAAAAGGAGCTGCATGTTGCATTTCGTAATCATTGCTGTGGTCGTTTAAGACCAACTGTAACGCACTCTATGGTGCTGCCGTGAGTAATGTGCGCACCGGTGAGGTTTTATTACGCCAAGCCCTTTAAAAACACCACTGGCATCATGTCCCAGTGGCTTACTTCTGTCTTCACAGCAGTTTTTCACGTAAACAGCAAGCACATTGTGTTTGAGTGCTGACAACAAACCTGAGAGCAGAGTAGGAGCCCAGAGACAGTGAGTTAAAGTCGGGATGGTAGTACAAGTAGACGGAGGACACACAGGTAGGCAGGATATCAATCACCCCCACTGCCACAATACGTCCATCCAGCCAGTACTGCTGGTGGAAGGAGCCGTAGCCCACCTCAGGCCCATCTGGAGCATATTCTGCCTGGGGGAAAGCAAACAGAGTGAAAAGTTTAAGAGAAAATAGTCACTGGTCAGAACAATAGCAGCACTCTAGTGCACAGTATAGTTTGCATGTAAAAATATATAAATCACAGAGGAACGAGAATGTGGTATTTAATAGCGCTCGTTTACTTTCTTGCACTGATCCACTTTCTTTTCTGCACACTCACACCTGTATGATGTTGTATTACAGACCGTGCTTCTCCCTGCCAGGCCTCACGCATTATGTGTGGGGGTGTACAGTAGCCTCACGTTCGGCCTGCTAATGGCTCCCAAATGTGGAGTGAAAGCAGGAGCAGAGTTGGGCTGTTGGGGGGGGGGGGCCACTGGCCACAGAAACACTCCGGGAGAGGATTTTAATAAAAAGACCCTGCACGAGCAAAATCCATTTCACCAGGCGGTAGTGGAGTGTTGCCAAGCTTTCCTCCTATATATGTCTGCGTCTGCACTCCCCCTGCGGCACGAAAGAATGCGGGTGTAAGTGAGCACCCATGCGCCCGGGCCTCCCTCCATTAATGAAACTGTTAAGTTTTTGTAACACGTTGCGTTTCTCACAGGGTTACTGCATGCTGGGTTTTTCAATCAAGTCAGCTGACTTCTTTTATCCCAGAGGCTTAAATCTAGAGGCTTGGGGTTTGGGGTTAAAAGTCATATTAAGCAAGGGTATTGGTTTATGTTTGTGTATGTGTCTTTCTTCAGCGTACTAGTAACAGGATCCGTCTCCTTCTCCAGCCTTCATCTGGACGCAGTTAAGAAGCACAGACGCTGCTAGTTATCACAACACTGAGAGAGCTAGATCACTAATCCAGTGCGCCACTGGGCCTGCGCTCTGACCAAGTTAAACCTGACCAAATAGAATCTCTCACCTACTCCCACACCTCCCTGCAGCTCTGTGACCCCAGCAGACTGACAGTTTTCTTAAGAAGAACTGGTAATAAAAGTTATATCCCTTTAGGTCAGGCCTTTGGGTACCCAGGTGTAATTAACTGCCTGACACAATCAATACCAGAGGTCATTTGTGTGTGTGTGTGTGTGTGTGTGTGTGTGTGTGCGCGCGCGCGCTTGTGTGGATAGGAAGGGATAATTAAATTACCTAACAGCTCCATAACAGAGGCCACATGACGTTAGATGTAGATTATGAGGTTTTATTGAGCTTTAGCTGCGACCGACAGATGATTTAAGAATAAAAATGAACATTTTTGGCAAACAGTCAGCTGGCGATGGTGGAGGACAACAATGACCGCAACTCGATAAAGCACTGCCTGATGCAACAGCTGAGCGGATTTAAAAGTGTGTGTGTATCCATAGCTGGGGGAAACTGTTGGTCTGATGTTTTAGCGCCATTTATCACTAAAACACCAGAGGCTTTGTCAAAAGGAAAGAGCACAAGATGATTTTTCGTAACGCACGTTCAGCATACACACTTGAGCGCTATTATGAATGTGAGTGCTCATGCAAGAGATGCAATGGCTGCCTGAGTGTGTGTATGAGAGTGTGTTTGTTTATAAGCTCGTACCGCGCTCAAGCCTGATCTTGTCAGACTGACCTGTGCATCACCTCAAACGACAGCTTAATGGTTGTGTCCTTGCAACTGTGACAACAATCTAAACATTCCCTGGAACACTTCTAACCACCCCAGAGCTTCCCAGCAGCCCCAAATCACTCACATATGGCCTAAATACAGGGCTATGTGTGTAGCACGCTTGATAAAGCCATGAGGTGGTATACCGTGTTTATTTCAACCTGCTCAGGGAGACATTTAGTTAAACTTCTGCTGAATTAGAATAACTGGATTTTGTGAACCCTTCAAGGACAAAAATGAGCTTATATTCCCTTTATAGACACTTTATCTCAGACTTGAATGGTTAAGTTAGCTTTAAGGAAGAAACCTAAAATAAAGACGGATGATGTGAACAGAAATGAATATGACAATGATTGTCTTATATTTCACTGTAAATTGTGCAAAGATAAACATAAATATATGCAAAGTTTTAATTTAGCATAAGCAACACGTTTAAAAGGTTAGTTCAGGTTAAAAGAAATAGAGAAAAAGTTTTATGACTGTAAAACCAAGTGGTAGAACAGGGACATATCACAACTAAAAAGTTTAATAAGTAAATTTGGTGTTCAAAAAAAAGTATCCTAGAGAGGCTGAGGCACTCAGAAGTAAAGATGTGGAGAGTTTCACCACTCTGTAAAAGGCTGCGTGGGCAAGTAGCTCAGGAATTTAAAAATAGTGTTTTACAATGCAAAATTCCAGAAATTTGGATGATAACACCACCTACAATGAGACGTTTTGCAAACTATTCTGAGATGCGACCAAGAAATTGGTCAGAGAAAAGATCCACCGATAAAAGTGCATTAAAAAACAGACAATACTGCAGAGGAAATCCCAACACTGGCTCAGCAGCACTTCCAATGACAACTGAAACAGTTTGTTGCTAAATGCACAATATTCTATTTTTGCAAAGAAAAAACAAACAAAACAAAACACATCAACGAGATCCAGAAATACGACCCCCACTGAACTAAATTCATGGATGCTGCATGCGGTTAGGGACCACCTCGCTTGAAAGCAACATATACGACAGCATCCGTGATGGCGCACAAAGCACAGGTAACTTGCACACCTGTGAAAGCACCATTAATGCTAAGTGATAATGTAATGATTATGGGGCAATACACTCTAAAAGGGAACCTCTTAGTCTTTCAGTTCAGATGTTTTTGTTGCATTTCTCAGTCCGGCAGTCTGCCTTTGTAGTTTCAAAGAGTTCGCTAAATTCGAGCAGGGTGCTGCAGTAGGAGGCCGCTGTTCCAACGGGTCTGTTTGTGAAATCTCTCCCTTTCTAGATATTTCACAATAAACTAATCAACTGTAAGTGGAAGCATTTGGGAAGCAACTCAAGAGTCAGACCATGTAAAGTTACAGAGGGGGGGGTCACTGAGTGCTGAGATGAACAGTGCACAAAAGTCAAGTCTTGAGTTCCAAACCTCTTCTGACAGCAACATCAACGCAAAAACTGTCGGGAGCTTCATGGTATGGTTTTCCAAGGCCAAGCAGCTCCTGTAGGTGTTAGGTGAAGGTGGTCCAGTACTTTTGTCCATACAGTGGATGCTGCAATCCAGCCATCTTTTTCAAGAAAGACCTTACTTATTTTAAAGCAGTTCTCTGGAACCTGTTTTTACTGAGTCATGTTAAGTTAAACTCTGTGCTTTTGTTTACATATTATTTTTGTCTGTTTTTGATTTGGTTTGACCATTACACAGCAGTCCCACCTTTCTGGAAATGGGTTCCTGGCATCAAAACTCACTATGATCACATGTTTGTTTTTTTCATAATTCAATCAATTTCTGTGTTCCAACATTTGACAATGCCTCTTTGTAAAAATTTACGATCGAAAAGAATAAGGTTAAAATTATTTTTCCACATCCTTTTTTTGGTATATTCCACATAGTGATCAAAGTCTTTTGGAAAAGTTTGCATTTCTTTACATAGTAAAATAATTCTCTGACAAAATGCTAAGAAGGGAAAGACAGAGATGACCAAACTACAGAAGAAAAGACTGAAAGCCACAGTCCTGCACCCCTGTTACTGTGTAGGTTGTTTATTCATAAAAGGAAAACTGAATGAGGAGACGAATCCCACAAAACCCATAACACCCTGTGTTTCTCCTGCACTGAAGTGCTCATTCATGTTTGGAGACAGGCAGAACCAGTGTGTTTACATGTCTGCATTTGTATGTAAAAGCATCTGAAAAACTCTGGCATACTCTGTTAACTGCCACTTAGTTTCGGCATGAATCCTCTACAGTTTTGGTGAAATGAAACAATTAGACTACCTGTGTCCCAATTACAATTTGGAAGTATGCATTTCTCATACATTTTTAAAAATGCAGGCTTATATGTGAGCTGATGAACCACAGAGTTTGCTGGTCCATGTGGTGAGTGTCTGTGTATTTTAATAGCACTCTGATTGGACACAGATGGAGGCCAACACGCAGAGCTACAGCAGAAATCCATGTATAATAATTCTGAAATGGAGAGCGTTTGGAGAGAGACAGGGGAGACTGAGATGAGAGGATGAAAGAAGGAAAGAAAAACAAGTTGCACAAGAGGACGCCGAATGAAAAGAGATGGCCTCCTCAACTGGCATAGAGGAGGGGACACTGAAGGCAGGAAAATATGCGAGGTAGTGTGGCACAGTTTTGGTGTGCACATGTGTGCAGAACTGTGTAATTCAGCTGCCTGGCTTCCAGCCTTGACGAGGTGATAAAAGCTTGTTTCCTATAAACACTAATGATGTTCATTAGCAGAGACCTGAGGGGGCCCACGGGGCAAAAGAGAGTGACTGCGTTTGTGTCAGTCAGTCTGCGTGTGCTCTGGACCTCAATCCCATTAAAGTGGCTGTTATAAGTACCCATCCTGGGTCTAATTGTTGGTGTAATTGTCCTGACCCAAGAGGTCCAGTGGTATTTCTGAAGCCTGCAGCTCAACAGGCCTGACAAGTGCTCAGTGATGCCTTACTGCAAACTTGCACCTCACAGCAAACACCACCAGATTAACCACCAATGCTCTTCCAGATCCTTCTGTATACAGATTAAAGCATCTAAAAATTTACACAGTAAACAGATTACGAGCAAGATTTCACTAATTAATGCACCAGAAGCTGCCATTAAATTTCTAATGGTCCCTGAATAATTGCTTCTTGTTAAGTGGGCCCACACAATCTCCTCATCAACCTGTAATTTGTACCACGCCACGCAAAGTAATGGGCAGTGGTATAAATGTGGTATGTTCTATCCCGTCAAAGCCAGAGGGAAGGACTGCTCTGAAGACCTTATGTTCAACACAGTTGCAATCTGGACACCACATTTACCATTTTCCTCCTTCGGCACCCCCTTTCACTAACACAGGGCTAAATTAAAACCCCTCCGATATGAAACAAAACCCCCTTCCCAAATCCCTCAGCTCCACTCAATCCAGCTGGAGGGCTCTCTAAGAGGCAGACCAAAGGTAGAGGGTTGGTATGTGCTGAAAAAGGGCAACTAGTTTAGATTTTCTTTCTTTTGAGTGAATGTGATGAGGAACTAAAAACCGAAACCCCAGGCGTTTTTCAAGTCATTATCATAATCTCCATGACAGTAATTTCAGGAAGACCCTCTACTGGTTGGGGCAAATCATTCCAGGTAACACATTTGGATGAACAGAGACATTTAAAAGCAGGGGGTTATTAAACTGTCAACAGGCCAAAGGAAATACATACCTCTAACGGTGAATCACAGAGAAATCTCTTGAACTGTGGAGGAAAGCAGAGGGGGGGACAGAGAGAAAAACAGTTAGCTCTCTGGGTCAGCAGCTCTTTTGAAAAAGGCATAAATGAAAACCATACACGTCTCCTTTGCTGTTCTATATAACTTATCCCTCCCTGTTTTCTTTCTACTCAGGTGTCACATTTCAAATGAAGCCCTCCATTCACTACGGGGCATTAAAAGGAAAACTGTATTTATACAAATGAAAACATTTACCCTATCAACTGCAGCTCGCACTACAGGGAGGACACCGTGACAGCAAAAATAAGCAGTGCTCCCAATGTCAAAATAGTTTCTCTCTCATTTAAAACACCACACCAGATATTGATTACTGGGGTGGGGGTGGAAAATATGTCATTTTTCTTCCATTCTCTCTACCGTTTCCTGGAGTTCATTTTTAGCAGTGGGGTTGAGAGCGGTGTCCATGTTTAGGTCCAAAACCGTTTTGTAATGACAACCAGAACGCCAAAGTGGTGACTGACAGATTTAAGTTTACTCAATGAGCACATAACACAGACCCTTGCTCATATTTTACAAAGACATGCTACAATCCAGCTGTGTCATTCGTTTGCAGATATGTTTACCTTGGGGTCCACTGCTTGAGGAGCAGAACATAGATCTATATCAGCACCAAAGTATTGTAAACACGGACAGTGAGGGTCCAGATGTGATTCCATAAACAACGATACACACTGTATTGCACGATGACCCTTATCCGCGGGCAAATGCATTTCCATTGATAATTATTTTGTGTTGCTTCTGATTCTATCCAACCAGCTATGGCTTGAACGCTTGTTAAACGGTGATACTAATTTTCAGTCCATCTGATTTGTGCTGAAAATATTGTATTTTGTCATTATGACTAACTCATATATCAAAGTAATCTAATTCTTTATATTATGTCCTGAAGAATAACAGTGTAAACAAAAGCCAATAAAAATTAGCACTTGCAATTTTATTTCCATCAAAGTTGCTGACAATGAAATGAGACTACTTATTTTGTTTTTATAGCATCTAGACTGACTGAAGGCTGTGTTGGCCATTTAGAGACAGATTATCTGTCTTTGCTTATTATTAACACGTAGGTTCTCTAGGAGTTGCCAGAATTTCTCAGAAACGCACCAACATGCTCTGCTTGTGAGTAAGTGACTGAGTATGTGCACAGCAGTAAAGCTAGTAATCGTAATGACTGCTCAAGGCATGGTTCACTAGGTGGGGCAGTGCTGGCTTTAGTGCACCTCGCAAACCCAGCCAGCAGCCTGAGCTCATCCAACAGAGTGTGCGTTTCCTCCTGCATCTGCCACAGTGCTGGTGACACTAATGCAGTGTCACCAGCATGGGAGATGTTTTTGGCAGAGCGCAGCGAAAGGATGATGAACTGTCATCCGTCATTTCCACCATACCTTTGACTGACACCAACAACCATTTTTACCATCTTTTAAACTCCCTCACTTAAACTGGACTCTCATCAGAAAAATGACGACATCCATAAGAAATTTAAGTTGTAAAAATAAGCAAAAACTTTAAAATGAAGAATTGCAATAAAAGAAAAGACTTAAGCATAAAGCACTCAAAACAACAAAACTATTCATGCATTGTAACGGTGCACACAGCTCTTGCAGAGGGGTGTTGATGTGGGCTATAAAATTCTCACAAACCTTGTCCCCTGCGGTGCTGAATACTACAACAAGATGCCTTTCCCCTGGACCCAACCTCACACCAAGATGAAGTGGGGATGAACAGAAATCTATGGACTGATGATTCTCACCCTGCAACTTCCCAAATATTAGTGGAACTTTACAGTCTCCTCTTCAAAGCCACTACACAACCCCATAAGCTTAGGTTGATCTTTGGACAACACTGCATTTCTACACATTTTTCCCCCAATTCCTCTACTAAACAGAAAAGTATGTTGCACAGTTTTTTTTTAACATGTTCCAACAAAAGTGCAATGACAAGATCTGTTGAGTCGACAATGATCTTCGCCCATGCAAAAAACCCGCCTGTCAAATCCCCTCGCCTGTGTAGCCATGCCAGTAGAATCTAATTTTCCACTCCTACCTCTGCAGTGACTACTGCTCTGCCAGTCGACAAATTACCAACAGCAAAGACTCCCACTGTGCAGTACTGCTGAAGGGCACAAATGAAACTTTTGTTAAAAACTCACCAAAAAAAACTCAACTAAACGGTTTAGCAAGTGAACAACAGCTGCAGTTATTAGATGACATCATCTGTAGAGGCCAAGCTACAACGTGTGCAAACGAGTGTGTGTGAGAGAGAATCTCACACTGACCTTGTGGTGAAATCCTGATTTGATTAGGAAAATATAGAAAATATACATGTGAGCTTTTACTCATGTATGCAAATTTGCATGTGTGTGTTTTCTGAATACCTCCTGTCCCTCTTTCTAATTCTTCTTTTAACCAACAGTGCAGTGTAGCTGTGTTTGCCTGAAATCACTCTCCTGGAGCACAGCAGGGTTGACCCCCTGTTTGTTCTCTGACAAACAACAGCTCTGTGAGGCTGACACACGTACACAAACTCGAGTGGGAGTGCACTCACTTGAGGCATGAATACATATGAAAACAGCTACAGCTACTCCTGTGCTTCCATCTCTTAATACAACAGCACATCAACTACGCTCTATTCAGAGCAATGACTGAACACATGGAGTTCATCACTTCCTCTCAAACTCTCCCTTTCTTACAGCAAACACTCATCTGTGTACGATTAGGAGTGCAAGAAGCCGTCTCAAACACACACACACACACACACACACACACACACACACACAGATTGCATATAAACACACGCATCTGCTTAAGCCTAATTGCTACTTAGACCTCTCGTCATTGTGCTCTGTACTCTCTAAAATTGTACTGTACTTATTTGAGCAACAAGGTTTCACCCTTTAAATGTCTAACACTCTCTTTTTCCTTCACAAACATGTGTCCCTGTTCATTTCAAAGGCGTTCAAAGCAGTTCCAGATAATACGAGGAACTGGGTGGACAACGGCAATGTGGTTTAGATGGTGTTATTGAATATCGCTGCTATGCATAACCATGTTGCAAATAGCTTTGACATAGTCTGTGCCAAAATTTCAATCATTTCTTCCATTTTACGGATGACTGTTACTGCCATGTCTCAACTTTTTCCGTATATTTTTCTCCAAGTGTCTTGGTAAAAGTACTGGCCATCAAGCAGAGTAAATACAGATTTAACAGGGTTTGTTTTCTTGAAAATGAAAGCCACATGTGCAGGAACTGAGAGTCATGGCTCAGCACAACAGTTAAGACCAATAAGTGCCAGCGAGAGTGTTTGTATGTGCATGCATCTAAATAATTGCCAGTGCGGGCTTCAACTCTGTCAGGAAACAATGACTGGACGTGGAAAGAAAAACGTCTGGCTGCCTTTCACTTGTGGCATGACAGGAAATGCATACATCCTAAAATAAACAAAGCAATTACCCTCTAGGACATCTTACTGTCTAATGATTGAACAATCTTGGCAAGGTAGTTCAGCTTGCACGCACACAGAAGGTCTCCCATCACTTTGTTCAAACATAGGCTGACAACAATCTAGATCCTATCCCGAGGGAATACTTTAATGGATTAATAAATACCTAAACAAATGCTAAATGGATCAACTTCCTAAGTAGCAGCAGCAGCAGGCAAATGGCATTTCACCAAAATGTGCCATCAACAACGAATTTCCCTTTTTCAGGACAATAGGTGGAGGGAGATGGGGGGTGGTCTAAGATTCTGGGAATAAGAGGAGTTTACCAGGAGCTTGACGGGCAAGACAATAAAATCAGTAGTGTTATGGGCTCGGGAGTGGGTGTCACAGTATTCCAACTAGGGGGAAAATGAAGGCAAATTTGTTTGAGTGGGAACAATTAAGGCCTGGCTCTGTACATAAAATTACTGTAGCGCGACTAGAGAAAAGAAAAGTCGTCAAACCACAGTCGCTCAGGTTCAATCAAACATGCCCTGGACTAGCTGTACTTCAGCCGAAGATAAAAACGTGTCCTAATCGAGCAGCAACTTCAGGGGTTGAAAAATGCAGCCAAAGTGGATTTTACAAAAACTGCAGTTCCTCCGGTGGCAACTTGACACAGACTCTAAATCTGAGTCAATCTTCTAGACCAGTGGTTCTCAAACTTTTTACATCATTCCCTACATGGCAGGAAGAAATATTTTCACGCCCCATTTAAACAAAATAATGGCAGAAAAGCCTAGCTGCAATTTGCGTCCCACCAGTGGGGCGCTCCACACACTTTGAGAACCACTGCACTAGACTGTTTATAAGAAACTGATCAAGTCTGTAGTATCACGTATTCTTTTGTCTCACTGTAAAATGGCAGCTGCCATGTTGTGTTTATTTTTATTGTCATGTCTTTTTGGTGCATGAAGAAAAAAAAAAAAAAAACTAGGAAGCTGGGTTAGCAAGATCCAAAGACTGTACGTATCACACAGACAAGGATAGCTGCTACCCAAGTAAAAAGTAGGATCATTTCACTCACCAAAAGTGGTTGACTAGCTGGCAGCTGCAGGTTACATTATGACCAAATGATTGCCAGGTAAAGCAGCGACACCCCTGGCTTTAAGACTTTATAAACTTTTATCAGATGAGTTAAGTTCAGTCCCAAGTTTTCAGAAAGGGGTAAAAGAGCTATTTATGTCACGCTATCAATTCTTGAACACTGGAGTAAATGGACGAAACACCACTTCCATACAGGGATCATTTTTCAAGCCATGTCAGTTGGTCAATCCCAAACATTCTCCCAGAAGGAATTAACTTGTTTAATGTTTTAGACCCTGTATCTAATCCCCTCTCTTTATTAGATGCATTTTTTTATAACATACTTATAATTAGGAGTGTGGTGCATTTGAGTGACAGCTGGGTGCTGACTAGGTGTTACTGTAGCTAATTTGATTCACTGAGCCAGATCCCTTGAACATGTTTGTGATGCCGTTGCATTTTGGAGCATTTTTATTGAAATTATCTCACCTATAATATGGCGTGCTGTGAGGTACAGCCCATCCAAGAAGTCCCCCCCCCTGCCCTCCAACTTCTTGTACAAACATGTTTCTGGTCCCAGTGCCACAGCCACATTTCATACATCTTGTGGTGTGAGAACAAGACTTGTCCACCATACAGACTTGCCATGAAGCACAGAAAGCAGTGTATTCCACACATACACTCATACTAATTACAGCCCATATAATAACTGTGTTGTTACAATCTAAAGCATAGGCTCTCTCTACCACTCTAAACTACAGATGTGAAGGTAAATTACAATTAATGAGGCTGCATTTGAAAGTAATTACCTAATCTTATGTGACCCTGGGCTTGTACACTACACATGTGGTTATCCAACATGGAAAACCAATAAAATAAAAAACTTTATTTCTGGAAACTCAACAGACATCAGCGTTTTTAGCACAACATTTTCATTTTATATTTTGAAGATATTATTAGTCTAATTCTTAAAACTACACTACAGTCATTACCCTGAGCTAAGACTGTGCACAAACACATGCGCTCTATTGACAGAGCTAAGGTTATGGCACTAGGAAAGAATCTGCCACAGTCTGCCCAATCTGACAGCTTTTATTATTTATTAATTACCTTACTTTTACAAGTTGGAGAATTCAGTAATTTACTGCAGCCTGCTGGCAGGAGGGGGAGGAGGAGGAGGCTGTTTTTCCAGCCCAGAGGGACAAAAGGCTCTCTCAGGTTGTCCAGCAGTTTCTGCATCCTGACTAGACTTTATTTTTTCTTCGTTTATTGATATAGAACGTGGAGAAACCTGGTGTGTATACATATAATTTAATGCGTTTCATTAATTATTATCACTGCTTAGGTCAGGTTTTATATTCACAATGATTCCTACTCATTCACTGCAAAAAAAACCTAGGGAAAAACTCTTTTCATGCCCTTTTATATATTTCACAGTAATTTTATAATACATAAATTTAAGAATTATAACACAGACAAATTCTTTTATGTTTTTACAAGGTCCAGTCAAATGAATATTGCTGTTACTACTACTAATTGTAAGACAGTATTTTCAAAGTGCCTGTTTTATCTAACAACCCCTAGTTTTAAATGTGTTATATAAATAAAATTGTACTGTATTGTATGTAAAAGAAAGAGGAAAAAAAAAAAGTCAAAAAGCAGCAAGAACGTTGAACGAGCGTGTGCAGCAGCTCCCAACCAGGTGTGGAATAATAATCATGCCGTACCTCACTCTCACTACATTCGCTGGGGTCATCACCATGAATGGCCATCTGGTATTGGGCGTACAGCGCTGACGACTGCTGATACGACGCCATGAATTGAGGGTCCTCAAAGTTCACTGGCACTAGCCTCACCTTCAAGCACAGGGTGTTGGGGGAAGGGAGGTGAAGGGAGGTTTTACAACGATAAACAATGCATACGAGGACAGTGAGCAGCTAGAAAAGGGAGGGCGGAGGACGTGAACAGTGCTGGAATCAACAGTGCGTTATATCATAGCGTTGGCATCAGTCTCCTAGCCCTTGAGAAAAGCTGGTAACACAGTACTTGGTTACTGGTTTATTCAAATCAGATTGCCGGGCACACAAATATCAGCGCAAGCAAACATTCTGCATCTAGGAGACTGATGGTGTATTTTCACAGCAATAACGTAATGAGAAACCTGAGGATGAGGCTAGTGCACCGCCCAGCTATTACCACAGATTAGCTGAAGAGGACTGGTAATACCAGACTGAAACCAGCGTCAGTGCGTGCGAGGTCCAGAGCAGCAGAAGCCTGTCTCAGTGGATCATCTAAGCGGGACGCGTACAGATTCTTGTCCAACACCGCAGACTCTCCTCAAAAAGGTAAACAAGGTTGAACTGAGCGCACGCAAGAAAATTAAAACCACACAAACACTACGAGCTCCAGTTCCAAATTCAAATCATACTCTGGTTCAGAAACTGAAACTATCGTGAGGGCAGGGTGACAGTAGACACAGACAGGGCAAATGTGTGAAGGTCGGGAGGGGTCAGCTGACAAACTACCTCAACCCCCAAACTAAAAACAGCTCAACACTAACGACCCGGCTGGCCGACCAAGGGCCAAGTCAGACACCTGGAGAAACACCGCTCTCAACCCTGGCGTATGGAAACATTTTCCCCTCCATTTCCTCTCCCTTTGACTTTCGCATTTATACACATACCCTCTCTTTAATACTAGCATGTTAATTCACTTTCCCCCACATTCAAGCAGATGCTTAAGACTATTTAACTTAATTCTTGTTTCAAAGTTCCAACACAAATTATTTATCCATTCAAGTCTAATTCTAAAACTTCGCAGCGACCGAACCCAGTTATACAAATGCAATGATGCTTAAATGATTGAATTGAATGATATTCCTGTATGAATAAGTACAAAAATGGAATACATCAAAGCCTTTTATTTCCTTTCTAGGTCCCCACATTTGTCGACCCTCTCCCTCCCTCCCTGGGTACCCCTAGAAAAGGTTGACCTATGCCTCCCACCCTCTGACCTGGCTCTCGGTGGGTTTGTCAGGAGGGTCCTTGTGAATGCCCATCTGGTAGAGTTTGTACACCTGGTAGGAGGCGTCGAAAGAAGCTTTGAACTGCGGGCTAGGGGGATTGGAGCGCACTAGCCTCACCTTCAAAAAGAATATGGGCAAACAAGAGTTAACAATAAAATGTAAGAAGCAATGAGAAAAGTGTAAGTGGTTATTGAAAATGCCCAATTAAGAAAAAAAAAAACTAAACTAAAAATTTAACTAACAAAACAAAAAAAGACCACAAAAGGGAAGAAAGACTGACATAAGCACACCCTCTTAAAACCATCTTTTGCAAATAAATCACAGCACTTACAATTCCTAAGATATCATTTCATTTTAATCAAAGGCTTCTTTTCACCTACGACAGCTGTACGAGACCTTAAGCTCAAGTTGTAGTGAATCCTTTGGAGAAAAATCTCATTTTATAAAATATAATCTAGCTAATCTAATCACACACACAAATATCTTTAGTTTTTAATAGATGTTTGTGTAAGATGTTGGCTTCATGAAAGTGGGTGTGTTATGTCCGTCTTTCTTGTGACACAAGAATATTACAAACAAGTTGCTCGAAATATAATCATTAACATATTTGCTAATGTGCTTTTTGGGATAAATGGGGATAAATGGCGGAGCATTTCTTCAGCTCTGCCATGTCATCAAAAGCATGACAAACATTAAAACCACAGTCCAAGTTCAGGTAACCTAGTATAAGAACACAATTAGGCAACCTAAGTGGCCTAATAAGTTATAATAGGTTAATTTTTACATACAATAATTACAGGTGCATAGAAAAATTATGATGCATCCATCATGTGTACTTATGCAGCAGTGAATCCAAAAAGGCATATATGATAAGCTCAAACTTCAACAGAGAAGATCAGGAAAAGTCTTTGATAGAAAGACGGGGAAAGAAAAACTGACCAATGCTGCTAATATTTAAAAAATGAAAGGATCCTTCTCTCATCGTCCGGCCCCATTTAATTAACTGTCTCCTCATTTTGAAGCTTTTGTTGGCCACAGAGGCTGTGCCATATAAATCCCCTGGAAGGACACGACAGATGAATTGAACTTGGGGTTTGTTTGGCTTGGAACTTAACTCTTAGGTCTCTCATATGAACATTTGGCATCAGCATCCTTTAGTCAAACAGAGATGCTGAACGTCTCAAGTTTGCTCGTCTTAATATTGTTCTTAATCTGGAGATATATATTTTTGATAAGTTCAAAAAAAAAATAAAAATTGGGGGAAACTCGCACCACTAGCAGACAGCATGGAAATGAAATTTCCAGTTCTCAAAACAGACTTGAAATTCAAAACCAACTTAAATTGCTTAAGAATGTTCAAATAAAGCCAAACAACACAACTGCACTTTGTTTAGCTAATTAAAATTTATTAAAGAAAAGTGTTGTATCTTAATGATATTTTGTCATGAACCCTCAAGACCTTTCTTTGCACTGTTATAAGTAAAAGGACAGACGAGAAAACTGACTGCCAAACCACTGCATATTAAGTAATGGGATAAAAGAACATCTATGGAAATATGAAAAAACTGCAGAGGCTGTACACAGGCACTCTTAAGGGGAAGAGCAGTTCCATACTTTCCAGAGGTGCCTGAGGGGATTTGTATCATGTTGTCACACTGACCCCAAGTGGTGGCATGCAGAACCCCGGCTGCACTGCATGGTCATCTAAACTCGTCTTCCCTGTCCCTATGACTCATCTCTCTGATCTGCAAAAGTAGTGAGCTCGTCCAAGGACACAGAATCAATCGTAGCAAAAGAGAAATATAAACAATGAAGCTTTGCAGAAAGCGACGGTGATCTTATAGCAAAGCCAAAGTGAAGATGCTTAATCACCAAATTTCCATTTCCACGTTTTATATGGACCCTGCAGGGTTTTTTTATGTATCCTGCAGTGTATTCTCGAGTGTGACATCTTAAACAGATGTGTTTATGAAGAAACTGAGCTTGACTACACTTAATTGCTCTAGTGTAAACGCAATAATCATCTGGTACTGGTGTGACAACACTTAAGGATCAACACAAGACACGTCCAACTGACAACATCAGAACGATTTGCTAAACTGCTAATGATTGAAAATGTTCCTTAGCCAGAAATCTGTTGCAGCCCTGCTCTATGTTCTATAATAAAGAGCTAAATGGGTCAAGTAGAAGCCTCTCCAAATTGTATGACTTGTAAAACATATAATTAACCTCCATTTGCATCGGATAACATTGTGTGCGTGGCCTCTAAAGAGAATTCAATTATAATTCCTAGCAAACAAATGAATCCAACTGAAAAGAGCTCTCTAGTCTCACGGGGTACAGAGACAAAAGGCAGACACTGCCTGGTTCATCACTGCATCTGGCTTAAATCTTGGTCAAGACCAGGAATGACGTTACTCTACCAACCTCAGATGGAGGCTTAGCCAGGGATCTCTCTTCTACATTGTTCTCCTGCCTGCCAAAACTTCATTTCCATGTCTTCTCATACTGGCTGAGCTGGGTGCTGTGGTTTTAATGTCATCAGCAGAGTAATGCAACCCATTCTGTGTGGTGTGCCTGTCATTTGGTTGAATTCGAAGTAGGAAGAGGTGGTTTTTCCACTCCGCTTTGGCTAGCTATCCTATCCGTACACATAAACACATGTGAAGTCACTGGAGCTGGGGAAGAGCTCTGTGAGACCAAATGTTCGAGCTAGCTAAGTCCAAACATTACAAAGCCTGAAAGCTAGACTAAGAACACTATTTCTTAATGACAGAATCATCAAAATAGGTTAATGATCATTTAAAGTTACAGGAAAAAAAAGAGGAACAAAAGTTTGCTCCACAATATTTTTGTTCACCTCAAGGCAATGAGCAGAGTTTTCAGGCAATGATTCGCTGATGAATTCTTCCAATGTTTTTGATTGGTTGTTTTGACTAGGAGTGGGTTGGGTAGGAGAGACAGTGGAGGAAACGCCGTCGCCATTTTGCCTCATTTGTTCTTTCTGAAGACGCCGCTCTTTCCTCAACTCTTTGGCCTTCCTACACGGCGGGCGGCTAGGATCGGCTCCATTCCCTGCAAGACAGAAGGAGAAATGTCAAAGGTTTCCTGAAGGTGCATTATCGCTTTAATTTTATGCAAAGACATGGTGAGAATATGCCACGGACGTAAAAGATCCAGTTTAAAAACTGAACTCAGGGAGAATGATCATTTTCAGCTTCAGACTGCTTTTTCGGTAAGAATAAACCAAAAGTAACAAAGGCTTTAACTTTGAGCCGCTGTAACTTTCAAAAAACATATGCGATAGCTGCCCGTCACTTTGACTCCAGTAGCACATAGAATATCGTTTCATGGCTGCCAAAGCAATGATTTAATGTAAAGACTACTGAGGTAAGGATGGTGATTACCTCAGTCCTCTTTGATTTTTCACTGAAGCAAGCATAGTTGGTTTTTTTTTTGGCGATAACAAAAAAAACCAACCTAATAATAAAAACAATCAGGTCTGCTGGTGTGGGAAAATAAATGAGTGGACCAGCTCATCGTACATCGCAAAGAAAACGCAACACACGCATTTTTTTCCTTCTATCAGCAAGACTGACAGAAACAGTTCCTGAAATTACTAAATCTCTGCCTGTCCCTTCTTCTCATCCTGCTGCCCCTCCTCCTCCTCCTTCTCCTCCTCTACCACCACAACCTCCTGGGCTCTTGCCAAGCCCTTCAGCTCTCCGGGCATCCCATGTCAACAGTTTACACGCCCACATCCTGTTTGGAGCAATAAGGAAACGAGAGCCGTTTCCTGCTTGTCATATTGCCAGCTGCCACCATCAGCTCATTCACCAACTCCCCCTCCGGTGAGGTCACAAGGAAGAGAGAGTGAGCGAGAGATCCCGATGCCTGATCCTGACAGAGGAGAGAGAAACAGATCCTGGCCAAGAATCACTCACAGCATTCAGCTTTAGCTGTCTCAAGGTCCTGTGTCTGTATGGCAGATTGCACCCTGTGAACAGTAAATACAGAACTGAAGCTATGCTATAAAATATGCTAAAAACATGAAATGACATTTGCAGTGCATAAACTAAAAAAATATTTTTGTATTTTTTATTTATCGCTTACTGTGTTCTTCTTCTAAATGATTTGTTGTCGAGTCATCGGGGGCGATAGGAGCACATAAATGTAGTGACTAAGAAAATTAACAGCGTAATATTTAATCTCAAGATTGCCACATTAGCGTTTTATTGGAAATGAAAAGCGGTGCGAAAGGAAGTTTGCACTTGCAAGAAATCACCTCTGGTATAAACAGAGTTGTGGCTGTGATAGCGTGGTCACATAGTTTACCTCTTTCAGAATAAACAAACCAATGTCAAGGAAGAGTGGTCACGCAGACAACAGGAACTACAGCCTGGACCGAGTTCATCACACTGACTCAACCACAAACACAGCAACCCTTATCCATGATTACTCTGTCCATGCGCCTCTCTCTCCCAGTAATTACACTCTCAGCATCGACACACACTTTCTCTCTTAGCCTCACAAACACAAAAAAAAACAGGTACTCCCAAGGACAGGATATGCAGCTGTGGTGAAGATAAAGTCTGACAGACCAGTTCCTGTGGAAGACAGATGCACTTTCTCCAGCAGTTAGCGCTTCATAAAATCTATGACATTCTCTATCCATGCTTCCCCGAGCACACATATGGCTTTCAGAAGATACACTCAGTGTAAGCTGTCTAGAAATGTGAAATACTGCTTTCCTATACGTAAACATGCAGCACACAAGTCAGTATTGATTTACAGTGGTTGAAGGATACTGTCGTCTCTGTTCTGCGTGTGCAGTGGCATTTATTGCAATGTATAACCCTTGAGAAACTACCAACTTAAACTCTCTGCTGTAATTAAAACTGGTTCCGCTTAAGTTTTTGGTAACTGGAAACTCCCCAAAGTTATAAAGTGCACTAGTCATAAAAGTAGAGGGAAGAGAGGTCCAGCTGTTTTCTGCTAACGGTGAAAAACATGATCGCACACGGCTTCAATAATGTTGAAATCTGGGCTCCGGGGAGGCCAATCCATGACTGATAGTGTTCCAGTGAGTGGTGTTTACAGCGTTAGTATCGTGCTTGACATCATTTTCCTGCTGGAAAATGAAGCTGTTCCAATCAGACACTGGATCAAAATCTGGTGATACTTTTCTGTGTTCATAGCCCCAAACCATGACACAGCCTCCACAAATAGCTGTAGACACTCACTTTTCCATCTCATTCTTGACCTACTTCTGTACATACTGACGATGATTTGAACCAAAAATCCCAAATTTGGATTCATCACTCCACGTGACTTTAGTTCACCGATTTTCGGTCCAATTCTTGAGTAATTTGGCATACCTCAGCCTTTTCTCCAGGTTTCCTTTAAAAAATGGCTTCACAATACCCCCGCCTCCACGGAGACCATTTCTAATAAGGCTTTGGTGAACAGCAGTGAACAACTGAAGGCCCTAATGCATCTCTCAGGTCCTGTGTCAGGTGTTTGTTGGATTTCCCCCCCCCATTTCTTAAGGAAGTTCAGTGTGTACTGCTCTCCTGCTGTAGTTTGTTTTTTTAGGTCTGCCCCTTTCTCATTTTCCCCCCTAGTTTTCTCAGGTTTTTGGTAAATGTGATAAAATGCTCACCTTGTTGGTCTAAAAATCTTATTTTATTCTTGTCAAGCTATATTATCTTTGACATTTGTCATAGATTCACGAAAAAATGGGAACAAATTATGCGTTTTCATTACCAAGTTGTTGATCTTGTGTAAAAGCCAGACTGGTTCACCCCTTGAGTTAAGTGCCTTTCTCATAATCATTGCATGATTTACAAAAAATTTGCACAATAATATTTCTCCAACATCCGCTCTTGCCTTTTAATTAATGATGCTGGATGGCGTTCTCATCAGAGTTGGAAAGGAAAAAAGCAGCTGAAGCCTGAAACATTAAAGGTTGTTAAAAACGCCACTTCCTCTGTCTAATGGGAGTTTATTATCTCTTCCCTATAAGTGTTATTAATTCATTATTGAGGGGATATCCTGTGCTGGAAAATAAGGAGGAGAACATAGACAGATAATTCCAAACCAGACACACACTCCTACGAAACAGTGAACAAACAGTGCCCTCATTCACCAACATGCTGCAGTGTGAAGCCTGGTTTACAAGGTGAACAGTGACACCTTCTGGCAAGATCTGATACTTCAGTTAGTGCAGAGCACAGCATGAGGCCGCATTGGATACAGTAGAGACAGCATAAATTTAAGCAGAAAACCAAAGAAGCCATTAAGTATTTAGTACAAACAGCTAAGGACTCCTCGATTAGACACAGGTGGCTTATTATTAGCTTAGTTGTAGTTGACTACATTTAAACAAATTAATAAGTAATCATGTATTCAAATTGTCTTAGCTGCGATGTTTAAAAAAAACCATCCAAATTAAGTTTAATTGCTGCAAAGAAATTCCAAAAACACTAAAGGGAAACTACTTATATAGCAAGCCAGGATAAAAATTCACCACATAAATGCTACATTAATACTCTGTATGATCAGTGCATTTTTAAGGCCTGTTTCCATTGTTTTTCTGGTGGCAGGATCTGCTTTCTGTATCTGAAGTTCAGTGTTGACAGCTCAGCATCTACAGTGAAAAAAAAACAACGCTTTGCTTACAGCTTTTTCTCCCCTGCTGTGCTGACAGCATTTTCAGTTAAAGAGCATTACTTCCCTCTTTGTCCCTGACAAAGTGTCAATCCATAGCGGTCACTGACAATCAAACTGTTTGGAATCCCAGACTGATCTAATCCCGTTCTTAGGTCCTTCCTGGAGTAGACTGTGGAGACTCGGAGCACTCGGTACAGATGAAGACACAAAAATGTTTCACGCATTTTTGTAACCTAACAACAACGCGGCTTTCTGAGAAGAGCTCCAAGACTGAAAGCACATAACCCAGAAACCGGCCTTTCCAGTTAGTGGGTTATTAAAACGAAGAATAAGGTCAACGTGAAATTATCCGCTTCGGTTTCACACTTACTGGGAAGCTTCATTGCACTGATGGTAATAAATAATAACACCCCGTCAACTCGATTAATATCACCTTCAGCCCGTTGATGTGTGAGAAGGTGCACACACAACAAAGCCGAGAGCAGAGAGAGGTAAAAACCCCGCACTACTTATTGCTGAGGCTTCATAGTACAGCTGCTTGAGCCGTTCATATAAGGATTTATGTCATTGTTTTAAAACTTTAGTTAGTTTAATTTTTTTATGATCACTGCCGCTCCAGGTTTAGATTGATAGCTCATTCTATTCTATGTGATCTAACTAATTATAGTACTAACTTTTTTCTCCCCCTGAGCAACGGCAAGTACAGCACTAGTTTAGATGACTCCTACCTGGTTTGGGAGCTGCGGATGTTGTGGTCCCAGCCAGTACAGACACTGGATCATTTTGTGATGTTTGCGAGCCTGTAGGTGTGGCATCTGCTGCCTCCTTCTGAACTTCTGTGGTAGATGGAAACTCTGTAGCATCCTTCTGAATGCCTGTGAGAGCGGTGCACTTTAAATGTACTTTCCTCAGTTCCTGTGGTCCTGCCTCTTCACACACCGAGTCCATTGGCTCACCTATAATGCAGGAAATCAATATTGCTTACACCAGACAGCACACTGTAAATTACCCTTCTCTTCTGTTTTGAATTGAATTCGTTTTTGAATTAGCACCCAATGCTAACTGCACTTTAAACCAGGGTGCTCACTTATGCCTGATCATTAACATCAGAATATGACATTACTGATCTGCAGTCATGCACCAGGACTGCTCTCTGTGACATCCTGCAGTTAAAAAGCCTTGCTGCGAAGGGGTCTCTGATGAAATGTTATGTGCACAGTTTGTGAGCTTTGCAACTGATGGAGCTCTTATGAGCTGATAGAGAGGAACAGCCAGACTCCTGTGTAAACCCATAAATCTCAATCTGCCTGCTGTTCGCAGCATCATTTATATCAAAACCTGTGGTCCATGAATACATTACAGACTCAAGTCATTTTCACACATTTATTAAGTTTCAAACTCAAGTCAAGCCTGTGTAGTGCTTCACACTACAAACTACAACACATATGCAGTCGCAGAGCACTAACTGCTTAAAGAGTATTGCCATTTTTTCCACGAATTGTACACCAATAGAGACTATGAATGGATGTGTTAATACCTCATATATTATACATACCTGCACAATCTTCCTGCCCCTTTTGCAGCTCCCCTTTGGATATAAATCTGTTCATCTTCTTCAGGATTTTCTTGTGGGATTTGGAAGGCTGGAATTTCAGAGCGTGGCATCTTGAGAGAAGATACAAGGTAAAGGTTATTGGTTGTTAAAGCAAACATTTAATTAACGTATTTTTTCAACATAGATCAAACAACCCTTGTGTATTCTAGGTTTTTTGGTCTTATCAGATCTTAAGTTACTTAAAGCATGACTCATAAAAGGAAATTTTGGTAAGCAAGTTAATAAAATTACCTGATGGTATACTGTGGACAGCATGTCTTCTGCATTATGGGTTTGTAAACATACTTCCCACTTCTGAAAATTAAAACATGGACAAGATTTGTGGGAGAAAAAAAAAAGGCAATAAATTATTATTTTTTATTTGAAGTAGTCACAACTCCATTTTTAAACTGAATTCAGGAGAAAAGGTTTCAAATGGAAGTAGGAAACCACTGGCTGAAACCAGGATACTAAGTAGCTACTCACCTTCTCCATCCTCGATCTATGAGGTCTTGGTAGTCTTGTACTGTCATGGTGTGGGACCACATCCCTACAATCAAAACAAAACAAATAATTAATCAAATTGTTTCCTTAAAATGTATAATTGATTTAAATACAATTTTATACATAATGGCAATCGTTGAAAATATAGCAACAAGCCTAGGCAGTGTTATGTATGAAAAGTCTCTTCACCTTAAGCCCAATCAGGCTTAAGGTCATAAAAGTGGTAACGCCTTTTCTTTTATTCACAAAAAGCGAATGGGACGAGGAAGAAACTGTTAATGAGATAATACTTCTGTGTTTAAATTGATGATAAAACTGAACCGGAAACAAGGAGAACGAGTCAGGCTCTTCACAAGTGAGTAAAACTAAAACAGCTGTGATACGAGGTATGTATACAAACAAGGCATAGTCTGTCAAGAAGTTGAGACTTGTGGTAGGTCCACATTTCTGTTCCAGTTTAAAATACTGTCTCCAAAGGGTCATTCCCACAGTACTTTAAGGCCCCAATGGAAATATACAAATTTATCATTTGTAGCCAGACCAGATCCCTCTTCCCAGAGCCGAGGTCTGAGCTCTTCCTTTCAACTTTCAACTTCCCTATCACTCTTGGAGCCTGCATAAACAAACCAAAACATAAGCTTCCATTGCAAGAAAACAATCCATTTAAATCTAAAACAGCCGAGGTAATTAACTGTTAAAAAGTTCACACAACACACACCAACCTCTCAGTCGAGTATAATTTCCTATGTTTCAAAAAAATGATGCTTAGAGTCCAAGCAAACTCCACTAGTGAACCACAAAATGACAGATGAGTCTCCAACAGACACAGCGGCAAGACTGCAGGCTTTCTTTATGTCTGACACACATCACAACTTTTCACAGGACTCTCTGTAGTACTGTGAAAAACTAAGTGCACCTTTATTGTTTCCATAGGATCTAGGGCAGTGGTTTTTAACCTGGGTTCGATCGAACCCTAGGGGTTCGGTTAGTCGGTCTCAGGGGTTTGGGCAGAGCCTCCGCCGTGACATGCACGGCTCATTTTGTGCACCAGTAAAAAAACATATCTACGTCTTGAATTTGAAAAAAATCATATTTTATTTTTCACTAAAGAGGGGTTCAGTGAATTCGCATATGAAACTGGTGGGGTTCAGTACCTCCAACAAGGTTAAGAACCACTGATCTAGGGTGAGAAGTAGCAGTCAGGTGCTGCTATACAAATCACTTGATTAAATGATCATCAGGAAGTGTGACCAAGGCTACCAAAGCAGAGATTTGGGCAGTTTGCTTGTCTGGAGTGTTCAGGTGTGTGTTAATTGTCTCAAAAGTGGAAGTCTCAACAAATTCATCCCAAAGTCGAAGAAAAGGCAAACAACCAAGAGATACATCTCAGAGTCTGCAGCCCTCAGTTAATGTGTTAAACGTTAAAGTTCAATACAGTACAGATAGAAAACCACTGAACATGTATAACTTCTCTGGAAAGATCACTAGGCAGCCTCGCTTCTGTCAGTCTGCCCCAGGGCAGCTGTGGCTACAACTGTAGCTTGTCTCCACCAGTGTGTGAATGTGAGAGTGCATGAATAGTGGTATTGTAAAGCGCTTTGGGTGCCTTGAAAAGCGCTATATAAATCCAATCTATCATTATTATTATTATTATTATTACTAGGAGGAAGTCTCTTTTCTCTCAAGAGAATGTTGCAGCACAGCTTATGTCTGAAAGTTGCATCTGGCCAAACCACAACACTTCTGGACCAGTGTCCTTTGGAATGATGAGGCCAAAGTGGAAATATCTACCATAATGCATAATATTAGCATAAACATATTAGCGTAAACAGCTCATACCAGCTGTCAAGCACAGTGATGGAGGGGATGTTTTGCAGTGGTGTTTGGTTTTTTGCAGCCACTGTACCTGGTTACTTTCCAGTCACTGAGCTGATTATAAACTCCTCTGTATACTCAAGTATTCAAGAGGCAAATGTGAAGCCGTCTACATACCAGCTAAAAGTTGGTAGCAATTGAGTCATGCAAAGCGATAAGCAGCAGAATGGCTGACAAAGAAAGAAAAAAAACAAAGGCACTGCAGTGACCCAGTTACAGTCCAGACCTCCAAATTCAAACGGTGTGGTGGGACATTACAGGGGCCTGGGTATAAACTAATGACTGCAAACTTCAGTGAACTGAAGCAACGTTGCAAAGAATTCCTCCAAAACAACGTGAAAAGACTGAGACAAAATCATATCATTTTTCTTATGGAAAATGATTCCTTCAAGTTACTGCTGCTACAATATGATGATTCTACAAATGAATCATGACGTGAGCTTAGTTTTTCACAGGTCTGTATGAAGCTCCTGTGAAAACTTTCTAGACTGTATGTCTATACAACTGAATCACCATCATAAATAAATGTGTAAACAGTATGTCAAAATCTGTTTTTTCTTATGTTGCATTATTCAAATCATTGTCCGTCCCCCCCCCCGTTACATAGATCTTCAGTTATCTTATCTGTCAGTGGTAAAATAAAGAGCATTGAAATTCACTCTGTTTAAAACCCCAGAGAAGTTATGCTTAAATACAAAAAGTTTAGGGCCTACACATTTAGTCTCTCAAATATTTCTGGCCTATGACTGTAAAATGATCTCACACCCTCTGAAATTGCAGAAATGTCCCATTCTCATATACATGTGCATTAAAACCAATAATGAGCATATAAAATGAACTTAAAAGGCTTTAAATTATGCTGCTTAATTAACTCATTTTATTTGAACATAATACATGTCATCAAAAAGCCCTGCTAATTTGTTAGGCAGGAATCATGAGTCTAAAATACAAAGAATAGATTCCATGTGCAGGCGGGATAAGAGTACAGTGGCTCACAGCACACCTGGAGTGTGTTTTCACCACTCACACCAGATCCCTTCTTCAGCCTTCACTCAGGCATGACAGACACAATAACACAGATGAGAGCAGATGTTGTGCTCTTGTTGTGAGGAGTTGCGTTTGATTTGTATCTGACAACACTGTTGATAGTATCACTGCACCAATCACACCAAGGGAAAACATCGTATGACGCACCTGTTCAGAAAAGTCTACAGTAAAGACGCACTGCTACTATATACATAATCCATGCATCTACAGCATAAGATGTTTCACATCTTTCCAGGAAAATAAAATGATGCCAGTGAGAATATAACATGAGATAACGCTTGACCTGCATCCACTTCCGACCCTGTAGCACTGTTACATAGTTACAAGAATTACACAGGTAGTAAAGTCTCCCTTCTTCACTGCAAGATGTCGTATCCATATGATGTAACAGGAACAGATTAACACTCTTATCTTAGATTAGACATCAGCTCTCGTCTGCAGGCGACGTGCCCAGTTGCTCATTGACTACACTGGGACCTCCCTAATTATAGTCAACCTGTCTCAGCCCTGCTCAGATCAAATCAATGACACCAGTGTGTCCTCTTACCTTCTCACAGTTTTCATTTTTATGTGAAAGTGAGATCTTTTAAAAAGTAAGAGTAAAATGAATCGCTGCATCATCGAGGCTCATTTTTACTAAATATTCCAAAATATAGCCACGTGTCAGCATTTATAATTAGGCTGTTCAACTAGTACACTGTTATCCCTCTGTCACTCACAGCTAGAGAACAGAGTTCGCAAGAAAAAGTAATGCCAAGTACAATTACCTGTTACACCAAAACAAAGTGTGAGAAAGTACTATAACACATGCGCCGCTCGTTGTCACCTATTGTATATTATACGACTTTTAAACCACGTAAAATATAAAATATCCTGGATTTCCTAAACTCGGCGTCACATCACAAATAAAAAAAGAGAAAGCTGCACTTTCTAAGAGCAGCAGCCTTGCTTCTCCGTCCTGCTGTTTAAGAGACTACCTATTAGCTTGGTGCTACTGCAAATCTACTGCTAACATGCTACAATTGCATTGTTACACCCAAGTTAAACATTGTTGTCCTACAGAAAAAAAAACATTCAACAATAACCTTAACTGATTTATTTTACAAGCCTTCTTCCGTTTCCCAGAAAGCAAAAGCTAGGCTAGAAGCTAACGGCTAAAACCTGAGCTAGGTCAATAACCTTAAACCTATCTAAATGATGTCAGGCTAACGCCAAATAATATTTACACTCGCAGTGTGCGTACAGTCTATGTAACATACTCAAATACACTGACATTAGGGATAGGTGCAGTGCAAAAAACAGCTAGCCGGCTATTATGCCAGAAAGTAGACGGAGCTAGGTCATTAGCACAAGCCAGTTCAGAGAACCCCGGCTATCCTCCACACAGACACACATATACACACACTTCATCCCCAGCTTACCACGAGAGAAGTTTCCCGTTTGGCTTTTACAGTAACCACATCGGTAGCCATCTTCTCCCCCGAAATATTCTACTATAGTGTAAGACTTATTTCCTGCCATCTTTAAGATCTAGCACAGCTGACAGCTGAGACAGGTGACCGGGCAAGCCTTGCTCGACATGTAACCCCGCCCACAGCAAATACGTCATCAGTTGTGCGTAAAACAAAGGGAGTTCTGATAAAAGTGTTTAAGTGTTACAAGTAACACTCAAATAATGAAACAGCTTTTGTTTTTTGGATCAAAATAAACATAATGCATTGCAGCGCATTCTGTAGAAATGACTTTATAACTTCATATTTAAGAAGACAGAGGCAGGGGAGAGGATGAAGGCATGTTCAGAGGCCTGAACATGTTCTGAATGTACGGTTTGGAGACAGTGGCACTGGCATAAAGACAAGGGGTGAAGCTGGAGGTGGCAGATGAAAATGCTCACTTTCACTGTCACTGATAGACAGATTTACAATCCTGTCTATCAGTGACAGTTCAGGCTGAGAACTTTAGAGATAAAGTTTGGAGAAGAAGGTTAAGATGGTTTGAACATGTGCAGAGGAGGGGTAGTGGACATACTGGACAAAAGATGCTGAAGATGCAGCAGCTAGGTAACAGATAATGAGGAAGCCCACAGACTAGGTTCATGGATGTAGTGAAGCAAGACATGCAGAGAGTTGGTGTGACAGAAAAGGATGCACGGGACAGGATGAGAGGGAGGCAGATGATCAGTTGTGGTGAGTCCTAACATTAGTAATCAAAAGAAGATTATTTAAAAACTCAGTTCTATCAATTAAATAAAGTAATAACTGAAATCAGGCTATATACCAACAGCTGCTTCCCCACTCTTAAATTAAACATCGTATGGATTAAGTAAACTAAAACAAAAAATTACAAAAATAAAGACCTTCATTGGGGGGAAATGGGCAGATTTCTCACCAAAAGCTTTGTGACACATAAAATTCCACAAGTTATAATTAAAGAACTGTACACCATATTTATTAAATTATCTGTGCAAAGAGGAAAGACAGCAAAGTAAATCCAAAACAAGATCCTGCATAAACAAGACCGAGGGAGAGTTTGCATGTAGAAAAATAACTTAGAAAATCACAGCTGGAACAATGATTTAGTTTTATGCAATTACAAAAATGGCGTTGGAGTGAAAAGCGCTTTGTCCAGTCCTAAGTTCTGTTTTACTTTTACAGTTTTCTCTCATTTAGCCACCAGTCAATTTTCTTGGGTTTCACATGGATTCATAGGTTCACAAAACCAGGATATTGGTTGTCTGATAAAAGTTGCCTCCATTCTTCCAACCACACAACAAAATAGACCTAAACAGGATTGTGAAAGCAGCTTGTGAGTTGAAACGCTACAGACAGACACAAACCTCTAAATAAACACGTGACTTTATGTTGTTCAGTGGTTTCTAATTGAAACTCCCCTGCGGCACAGGGATGTTTTCATGAAGGTATTTCATGCTGCCTTGCTCAGAGAAGTCAGCCACTGTGTGTCCCTCCCCTCGAAGGACCCACTTGGTGGTCAAAAGTCCCTCCAAACCTACAGGTCCTCTGGCATGTATCCGTGCTGTACTGATACCAACCTCAGCTCCTGCAAAATAAACAAAGTAAAATTAAATACCTTGTTTTATTTTCAACATAGTGGTAGTTTAGGTTCACTTGAAGGTAAATACACACCAAGGCCAAAGCGGTAGCCATCAGCAAAGCGAGAGCTGGCGTTCCAGAATACACAGGCGCTGTCCACCTGTTGCAGAAACTGTTCGGCTGTTTCTTCATTCTCAGTAACAATGACATCAGTGTGGGAGCTGCCGTATTTGTGGATGTGGTCCACAGCTTCCTGCATGCTGTCAACCACCTCAATGCAGCATTCCAGGTCCCCATACTCTGTCCTCAGAGACTTGACCTCAGATGGGCTAAAAGTTAAATAGGATGCGAAGCGAGGACCAGCATGAATCTTTACCTGTAAGAAAGCAATAACCAATAGTTTGTTAAAGAATAAAAAACAAACAAATGTAATTTACTGTATTTATGGACGTTGGTAAAGTGTTAAATTCTCTTGCTGTTTTTCCTATTTCTGAATCTCATTCAAAGCATACACCCAAATAATCCTGTTTCTTACTTGCTCTGTTCTCAGCAAGTCAATGATCTGGTCAAACACAGGAGTACGCAACAAATCTCTGTGAATAAGAAGAGTCTCCATGGCATTGCAGGCAGCAGGGTAGTCACATTTAGAGTCTTTGACTGGAAAGAGAAACAGTTTGTACAATCATTCAAAACCAGTCAGTTTGCATTAGTGACAAATGCAATTAAATGCAATTAAAAACCTACCAACATCAAGAGCTTTGTCAATGCTGGCATCACTGTCGACGTAGACGTGACAGATGCCCTCACTGTGGCCCAAAACAGGAATGCCCTTGGCTGCCCTCTGGATTTCCCGGACCAGCTGAGACGAGCCCCTTGGAATGATCAGGTCAATCATCTTGTCCAGTCTGCACAGATCCTCAACTTCCTCACGTGTGCTCACCTACAGCACAAATTCTTTTAGTGTATCGCAACAAATAAAATACTACCAGGAAACTAAAATTATATTTCTATAATGATTTTTAGTCTTACCAGTTGAATGGCATCTGCTACACCATGAATGGAAAGGGCCTCTTGAGTGAGTTGATGTAGAATTTTGTTGGTGTTGGAAGCTTCTTTGCCACCTTTCAGGAGCAAAGCATTTCCGCTTGCAATTGCTAGTGCTGACACCTGAAGTATAGCATTTAAAATGTCACTCTTTTTGAACACATATAAAACCAAAGACTTTAAAAAAGTATTCCAGACTGCGTAGAGATGGTCTGACCTGTGGCAGACAATCAGGGCGAGACTCAAAGATGACCAGCAGGACACCAATGGGGACCGTGATCTGTTCTAGTTCTAGGTTGTTGGCCACTCTAGTCCTCCTCAGCACCCGGCCGACGCTGTCCCTGGAGGAAACGGCGAGCTGACGCAGGCCAATGGCAAGACTGTTCAGCTTGGCTGTTGACAGACTCAGGCGATTGATCAGAGGCTGGGACAGACGACCTGTAAGAGTAAAGTATGAATAAAAAATGCTGGCGCATCAATCAATAAAGAGAAACGTGTTGCCAAGCAGGAGTAAATGCTCTGCTACGCGATGCCACACCCAATGACTCCTACCAAAATAGACTACAATGGTATCTGAGTCACAGATCTACATTCAGGTATGGATTACGCTAATCCGTGTGCCAGCTCTCTGCCTCTGTACCTAATGTTGTTGCTAGCTCCATGTCTTTCCTGTTTGCATTAAGAATTTCTTCTTTCTTTTCTGTAAGGAGCTCAGCAAGACAGCAGATGATCTCCCCTCTCTGAAAAAACAAACACATAGATGTGGTCAACACAATTCAAAATTAATTGACACTGCTGTCACTACGACGTAGAACTTATTTAATTTTGTGACCCTGTGCAACTAATTAGGATAATTTTTTCCCCCTTTACCTGTTCAGGGAGCAGGGAGGCCAGGGTTCTGCCTGCATGTCGTGCCATCTCTGTCTGCTGCTCCACAGTTGGGCCTGGTGGTGTCAATAACACCAACATCAAGCATAAATCCTCAAACCACAACAAAAAGATTCAAATGCTCTGTCTGAGTGGTTTTACCCAGTACCTGCAGGTTTCACTTCAGAGAAAAAGGTGCCAACTTTCTTCCCGTCCACAATGTCTGTGATGACGTGACCGGTGACTTTTGGATCTGTGCCATTGGCAATGATTACTGAGGTGCCACCCTGCAGTGCCCAGAGGGCTGCTTTCACCTGAGCCACACAACATGATTTAGTGTAATGCAACATTTTCATTACTGAAAGAACTCTGCCTCTTCATATAGTGAGATGAACTATTATCTGTCACACTGACCTTTGCTTCCATGCCGCCGATACCAACTCTGGATTTAGTCCCATATGTGATAGATTGTTGGTCTCCGGGATAGAATATATCAATGAGCTTGGCATCATCTGTTCCTGGCGGACTGTCGTATAAGCCTGAGGAAAAAATAAGAAAAATAAATCACACATACATAGATATCTTCTGATTTAACAAAAACGCGAAAAAAAAGTCTTCTATTAATGTCTGACTACCTGGCAATCATTAATGAATAAAAGCAAAGCATCAATAACATATATGGCAGTTGCTGTAATACCATGCATAATAATGGTTCACATTTATTATACATACAAACATAATCTACACATTTACACAAATAACATACTGGCCATTACTGTGATTCTTAAATGCAAATTAAAGAAAATATTATTTAAATAGTCATATCTGTACCTTGGACATCAGACAGGGCAATAAGTAGGTCTACTTTCATTTCAACAGCCAGCCGTGCAGCCAAGCTGTCGTTATCTTTGATGCTTATTACCTGAAACACAAACCGATTTTTCATTAAGCAAAAAACACCGCGCAGGTCAGTAACAAGTTCAGTTGCTACTACATTTTAAAAGCTTCCCTCTCTTACTCAGGTGCAAAGGAAACATTGCATGCAAAAACAGGTGTACCCACATTTACACCCTGTAGGTCACTGTTGGGAACAGGGGGTGGAACAACAGCGTCGTTCGTGTTAATTATCGGGACGATATTCATACGCAGCAATTCATGTAGCGTGCTGTTCAGGTTCCGGCGCTTCTGTTCATCGTGAAAGTCCAGATTGGTGACCAGAATCTAAGGAGGTGGAAAGAAATGTGAAGAAGTATGTGACATTTTAGTCAGATGCTGTAGGTATTTTATTCTATGCCAAACGTAGAGCACATACTTGTGCAGTGCAGATGCTGTATTGGGTGAACATAGCTTCGTACAGCGCCATCAGACCGCTCTGCCCAGCAGCTGCACAGGCTCTTGCTTCCAAAACTGGGACTGTCTGAAAGACAGTGAGATTTAAACAAAGTTAACAAGATTTCGAAAGAAAGAAATCAGCACACTGTTATACAGTCTACATTTACAAAATAGAGAGTCCAAGTTCCTTCTGTTAAAGCTTATTCACCATGTCTTTCAGTTGGTTCTGCCCAGAATGCAGAGCTTGTCTGACACTCTGAGACAGCAGTATCTCATGTCTCAGTCGCTGCTTCCCAAATGCCAC